TGTGGCTCGAGGAGCTGATGCTGAAACTCAAACCCACCAAGTTTGCATCAAGCAAAGCAGAACCTTGCTGGGGGAGAAGAGTGGAGCCTCCCTGTGCCCATCCCTTGGACATCCAGGGACATCCAGGCTCCCACCTGCCCTGGTCCAAACATCCCTCAGAGCTCAGGCTGGCGCTTGCAGAGGACACTCAGCACTCAGGATCTGTAACTCAGTGCACAGAAGGAGAGGCTGGGAGGAGGGAGCTCTCGTCACTGAGTACGTTCCCTCCCTGGAGCCCAGAGTGAAATTCCTCAAGTGCTGGAGACAGATTTTCCTTGGAAGGCGGCCATGAGTGCTGATCTGGCTTCTAGGAGAGATCAGCGTGGCCAGGGACTGCAGGGACCTCAGAGAGCAGCACAAAACCCTCCTCTTGCACCAACGTCCTCACAACAAACCCAGGAAAACCAAAAATTAAAACATTTCCAGCTGTGGGGAAAACAGGGAATGACCTGAGAGCACCTGGAGATCTCCAGTGGTGTTTGGATGTTCAGGGGTGTTTGGTGAAGAGTTGATTATTTCCAATTTCAGCAAGGGACTAAATGGAGCTAAATTTATTTCAGATTTCTAAAATACAGCATAGAGTGTGCAAAAGTAACGTTTAAACTGGAAGGGGGAAAAGCAAATATTCCTTGCCTTAAGTATTTGAGTCTTACTCCTGCAGGAGGACTTGAGGTGGGAGTTGCTTTCCTTTATGACTTCACTAAGGGTATTTATGGATTTAGAATTGTCCCAGAATAGGAAATCAAGCCCCATTTTACATTTCTGACTGCTCAAAATTTGATTTTCTGGGCTCAACTCTTCCTCTTTTCCAGACAAGGATGGAATTACTCCTGATTCCCTTGGGCATGAGGGGAAAACCAGGATTTTGATGTACTGAACTTGAGTCTGCTGCTCTGAACAAGGACAAACTCTGATGGCTTTAAACAGTGACATCTTTTTAGGGTTTATTTCCCACTACAAGGATTTGCACCAAGGCACGAACCAAGTCACCATATTTTCCTATCACTTCATATTTTATTAATTTTGGTCATTCCTTTAATCATCTCCCGTTCCAGTGAAAATTTTCTCAGATTTACAAATGTTCTGTAACAGCTCCTATTGAAATATGTTGGGAAGGGAAATCTCTTTAATTTCCCTACTTTGGTGAATTTTTGCCCAGACATTTTTTCTCCCTCCTTCCCCCAGCCGGGTCATTCCATTTAAATCAACATTGTGGTGACATTTCACAGAATCATGGAATGGTTTGAGTTGGAAGGGACCTTAAATCCCATCCCACTCCATCCCCTGCCATGGACAGGGACACCTTCCACTATCCCAGCCTCAGTGTCCAACCTGGCCTTGGACACTTCCAAGGATCCAGCTGCTCTGGGAGGCCTTGGGCTCCATCCCAGTCCCTCCCCACCCTCGCAGAGAGCAATTCCTTCCCAATATCCCACTTAATCTACTCTGCTTCAGTTTAATTTCATGGCTTAAAAGAGAAAAAATGCCAAGTCCAACAAGAGAAATTTCAAGACAAATGGAAGAACAATCAAAGACCTTCCTCCATGACCTTCCCACCCCTCCCTGCTCCCAGCTGGAGCTGCAGTCCTACAGAAGTGCTTGGATGGGGTCTGGTGACACATTCCAGCATGCCACCAGACCAGATCACCGACAGGACCAGGCAGGGGGAACTGCCTCAACTTTCCATAGTCAGGGATGGGTCAGCTCTTCTCCATTATCTGCTCAACACCTTGATCTTCCCCTCATCAATCATCATCCATTACCCATGTAACAGCTCCTATTGAAATATGTTGGGAAGGGAAATCTCTTTAATTTCCCTACTTTGGTGAATTTTTGCCCAGACATTTTTTCTCCCTCCTTCCCCCAGCCGGGTCATTCCATTTAAATCAACATTGTGGTGACATTTCACAGAATCATGGAATGGTTTGAGTTGGAAGGGACCTTAAATCCCATCCCACTCCATCCCCTGCCATGGACAGGGACACCTTCCACTATCCCAGCCTCAGTGTCCAACCTGGCCTTGGACACTTCCAAGGATCCAGCTGCTCTGGGAGGCCTTGGGCTCCATCCCAGTCCCTCCCCACCCTCGCAGAGAGCAATTCCTTCCCAATATCCCACTTAATCTACTCTGCTTCAGTTTAATTTCATGGCTTAAAAGAGAAAAAATGCCAAGTCCAACAAGAGAAATTTCAAGACAAATGGAAGAACAATCAAAGACCTTCCTCCATGACCTTCCCACCCCTCCCTGCTCCCAGCTGGAGCTGCAGTCCTACAGAAGTGCTTGGATGGGGTCTGGTGACACATTCCAGCATGCCACCAGACCAGATCACCGACAGGACCAGGCAGGGGGAACTGCCTCATCTTTCCATGCTGTTGGATAAGTCAGGGATGGGTCAGCTCTTCTCCATTATCTGCTCAACACCTTGATCTTCCCCTCATCAATCATCATCCATTACCCAGGAGATCCAGGCAAATGTTCTGTAACAGCTCCTATTGAAATATGTTGGGAAGGGAAATCTCTTTAATTTCCCTACTTTGGTGAATTTTTGCCCAGACATTTTTTCTCCCTCCTTCCCCCAGCCGGGTCATTCCATTTAAATCAACATTGTGGTGACATTTCACAGAATCATGGAATGGTTTGAGTTGGAAGGGACCTTAAATCCCATCCCACTCCATCCCCTGCCATGGACAGGGACACCTTCCACTATCCCAGCCTCAGTGTCCAACCTGGCCTTGGACACTTCCAAGGATCCAGCTGCTCTGGGAGGCCTTGGGCTCCATCCCAGTCCCTCCCCACCCTCGCAGAGAGCAATTCCTTCCCAATATCCCACTTAATCTACTCTGCTTCAGTTTAATTTCATGGCTTAAAAGAGAAAAAATGCCAAGTCCAACAAGAGAAATTTCAAGACAAATGGAAGAACAATCAAAGACCTTCCTCCATGACCTTCCCACCCCTCCCTGCTCCCAGCTGGAGCTGCAGTCCTACAGAAGTGCTTGGATGGGGTCTGGTGACACATTCCAGCATGCCACCAGACCAGATCACCGACAGGACCAGGCAGGGGGAACTGCCTCAACTTTCCATAGTCAGGGATGGGTCAGCTCTTCTCCATTATCTGCTCAACACCTTGATCTTCCCCTCATCAATCATCATCCATTACCCAGGAGATCCAGGACTTCCCATCCTCACCCGGCACCTCTATCTCCCCTTTCTCCTTGCACAGTCACAGAACCCTGGAATGGTTTGGGTGGGAAGGGATCTCAAAGCCCACCCAGTGCCGCCCCAGGGTCCTTCACTCTGGTCCTTGTCCAACCTGGCCTGGAGATTCAGAGGTGCTGCTGCTTTTTAAATGCAAGAACAAAACTTGGGAGCACCTCCTGGAACAAAGACAAAACCTCCGTGTCCAAGGACACCACTGGACAGAGGAGGCAGGACTGAGGAGGCCCCTGCTCCTCCTCCTCCTCCTCCTCCTCACCCAAGCTGGGTCCCTTTGGCTGCATTTTGCACTCATGAACCACACAAACGTTTCACTGGCTCGACCTCACCGAGCCATTTCCAGGCATTTCACTCTTCCAAGAGCCCTAGGTTCCCTGTCCAAAATCCCCACATTCACGGGCTGGTGCTTGGAAAAGGCCCAGGGCCTCCACATTTCCTCACACCCAGGAGGCCGCGGGCGCGTCGAGCGCCGCAGTCAGTGAAGTGCCAAGGAGCTAATGAAGATAAAAGTGTCAACACAGCCTGGTGATAACGCACACCTCTCCCATGGAGCTGCTGGGACCGTTTTGCAAACAAATTTGGCAGTTCCTGGCGGGCCCGGGCCCGAAAAGCGGCGTCCTGATGTTATTAAAGTTAACAGAAGTGTCATGGGATGACAGATGGCTCCCCGCACATCAATTGGATTCTGAGGAGTTCTCAAACCCTGGCGGGTTGAAAGCAGCTCCAGCACGAATCAGAGGCAGGGGCAAGATCATCGATACAAGGGATTATGCAGATTTAAGAAATACCCTCGGCACCCGAAAGTTTTCAGAATGCAAACTACGTCAACCCCGCGAACAAGAGGCACTGCATCATGATGGCAGCAGGGACAAAGCCAGGGGGGTTTAACAGACAAAAAAAGATTGTTTTAATAGGAGAGAAGCATCAGTCATTGAGTCTTACTTCATTCAGACTTTCTCTCCAACCCATCCATCTTCAGTGCCAAGAGATGACAGGACCACCTCACTTTTCCCCCCGGCCTAGTGTATCAATAATGCCCATTTCTCCCCAAACAAATGACTCCCCAGAATGGCCCTTTTCCCAAAATTGGCTGCCAAGCCCCACAAAGGCCTCAGTACCTGCTATGGTCAACTTGGCTCCAACGGGGCCCCCTCCAGAGGTGGCCACTGATGGGTGGAGCCTTCCCCAACCATCTTCCCCAAGAGCCACTTTGTCATTCCTGGCCGGGGAGCATCTGCGGAAGAGGGGACCGGGGCGGGGGGGTGGCCGAGCCGCAGAGGGACACAGAGAGGGACACAACGGGCACGGACACAGGGGAATGCAAATTCCTCTGCCCTCGCTAACGCCTCCGTGGGCATTCTCTGGGAACAAAGGTCCCCGAGGCGGGCGGGCTCTGCATCACTGCTCTCTCTGTTCCCAGCACCTGCTCGGCACCGGCCGCGGAGTCGCCGCGGTCCCTCCGCGCCGCGGCCGCAGAAGCCAAGGGCAGCACAATGGCCCCGTTGGCCAGGGTCAGGCCTGGCTTTCTTCCTCGCCCCCTTCCACCAGCCCTTTTCACCTCCACCATCTCCAGGAGCGCTGGGCAAGGAGGTGGCTTCGAGCGACGAGAGGAGGAGGAGGGGGGAAATATAGGTCTCTGGCGTAAATCACTGACGCCGTTTCCCCTCCTCTCCCTTCCCTTAAGACCTGATGGTCTTCAGTCACACATCTTAAAAGCAAAACAAAAAACAAAAACACAAAGACTTACTTGTCTCAAGTCGATGAAGGCCAACTGCAGCGTGTCCCCTTGGAACCCAGGCACTGGGCCGGATCTGGCAAACTCTGTGGGAAAGAAAAGAGGATAAAAAGCGCCTTTAACTAACCATGGACAGGGAGATTGGCAGACGGATGACAGGGAAGACAAGAGAGGCTGGGGGAGAGGAGGACCGCGCTTCTAAGGAGTCATGTCTCCCTCCCTTCAGCGTCTTTGTTCGCCCTTCAAAATTCGTGTCATCAAAACACCATTAATTCCACCGTCCTGACAGCAAGGAAACTGTACTAATTCGACCTGAAATTTATTCCCATGAGCCGCACTGGGCTTCAGAGTATTTGTTTTGTGAACAGACAAACAACTCGCCCAGAAGAAAGGGGGGGATGGGGGTGGAAAAGTTTTTCCTCTCAACACAATAAAATCTTCAGCTGTGAAACTCTTTTCAGTTCCGAAAGCTATTTATATTTTAGGGCGCTGAAGGAATTTTCTAATTTCACGCCTGTCACCAGGCTCCATGAGCATTCATCAAAAAAATATGCCCGGCCGCGTCATTAATTATCAGGCAGCAGATTATTTGCATGATCTGGTGATGGCGCCTCTTGGTCAGCCCAAACGCGGAGAACCGCGGCCGTTGGGTGGCATTTTTATTTCTGGTGGATGAAGACATCTGACAACTGAATAACGTTGGCTTCTAAAGCGACGAGAATATTTCCAAGGCCACATTTATCTCCTTCCAGCCTAATCTGGCCAAAGTTTCATACTTTGGTTGTTCATTTTTCTCCTAATCCATTCTTTAAATCAAACCTAAAACCGCTGAAGGGGCTTGAATGGATCCATCTTAGAGGACCTTGGTTCTTCCATGGCATTTAGCAGCTTTTCCTTGGGAATGCTCATGAAGCCGACGCCTGCACGCATCCCAGGGTGTCTTTTGAGGTTGGTTCTGCCCAACTTCACTTCATTTTCACCCTCTGCAGTTACAGCTTCATCTCCGCTCTCCTCACAACCTCTCGGCACTGAGGGGACCTGGGCTGCGAGGCCACAACTCAACGTCACCAAAGGCTCGAGGGGGAGCACCTGCCCGGGGTTGAGTTGTGGCTCCTGCAGGCACTGGAGGTGCTGGAGGAATTAAATGTTTTCTTGGGATGAAGCCAGGTGTGATGGCAAAAATGGAGAAAGGAGGGAAAATTTACACCAAATACAGATTTCTCAGTTACAGAGCCCATTATCACTCATCTATCCCGGTTTTCACCCTACAGGAACCCTCCAACAGCTCCTAACGCTCCACAAAGATGAGGATTAGGAATGGCTGGGCAATATGGAAGGAGGATTTTGCCTTTTGTGTCCATGACTAATCAGAAGCACCAATGGATAAAGTGATTTCATGTCAGGTGGTCTTTGCCTTGTACGCTTGTCCTCCCAAAAGTTTTCCTGTTTCCAAGCCAAGGCCACAAAATCAGGAACATAAATCATCACATTCCCATTTCCAAAGCTTTCCTAGAGCAAGCAGCCCAATCACGGAGCAGCCCCTTGGCTCTAACAAGAAGAGATTAATGAGTGAAACACCAGGACTCAGTCCTGTCCCTCAACCGCCTCATTTCGGGGAAGCGAAGCAGGGTTATTAATCAGCTCCCTTGCTCCACCTTCCATTAAAACCTTGGGATGGAGAACATCCTTCAAGCCAGACACAGGCACCTCCAGGGGCACAGGGGACACTTCTCAGACTCTGCGTTTTAATAGTCTCAGATGCCAGAAGAGCTTTGAGATTGAAACCATCGCTCATCTTTGCAGTGATCACTCAAGTGACAACCGCTGCAGGACAAGAGCAAACACGGCTGGGAAATCATTGCTTTCATCTGAAGTTATGAGTCAAAGGGAGTAATAAACAAATAAAACCGGAAATTATGGACCTGACCGTTCATATTTAAGTTTCGGGTAGAAAAAGCACAAACCAAAGTCAGTGGGAACCATCCATGGTCGTGCCTTTGGAGTTTTGCACAGGATGAGACTGGACTGGGATGAACAGGAGAAAGTTCTTCCCCGTCCCTCTGAGGGTGGGGAGGCCCTGGCACAGGGTGTCCAGAGCAGCTGTGGCTGTTCCTGGATCCCTGGAAGAGTCCCAGGCCAGGCTGGAGCTTGGAGCACCCTGGGACAGTGGAAGGTGTCCCTGCCCATGGCAGAACATGTGGCTGGATGATCTTGAAGGTCCCTCCATCCCAAACCGTTCCACGATTCCTTGAGATCAGAGCTGCTCAGCTCCAGGCAATTCCACTGACCAATCCCACAATATTCCGGGTGCAAAGAGCCCAAAGTGGCTTCACATGTGTCCCCCAAAAACTGTTTTAATTAATCCTAACTGCAAAGGCATTTTAATGTAGTTTGCCATAAAATTTGACTGCAGCTTGCCTGAGCCAGCAGGGAGGGAGGATCAACACAAACCCTCTGACTCTGATCTGCAAGGGATAAATCATCTTTACACACTCACTCTACACCCCACTGTCCCATCTGGAACAATTATCCCCAAAGCCACATCAATCCTAAAACACTTTGGAAAAGCACAATACCTGAGGAACTAAAAATGTTTAGAAGTGAGAAATGGCGCTTGAGCACCTTCTCAAGAGGTGAAACTCCTCTGGGTGGCTCAGGGTTGGAGACGTCCCTGGGTTGAGGAACCCAACCACAATGTCCTACCCCCCCATGAGGATGGGATCACCTCATGTTCCTGATTACATTTGGAGAAATCCTGGAAAAGAAACCCTGGAAGGACTGCGAGGAAAGCGAGTTTCTATTTTTTGGATCAAGGGCCTCACAGCTGTTCAGCATCTATTTAGGAGCACACACGGAGTTGGGAAATTTAAGATCTTCCCCAAAGCATGAACTTCAAATCCTCATGAGAAAATGCCTGTGATTGTGAATGTTCTCACAAGGCTGGTGAATTTATCACTGCTGTCGGCTGCTTGTGAGAAACCCAAGACAGATTCCATTCCAAGCCAGATTTCATCCCAAGGCAGATTTCATCCAAAAACAGATTTTATCCCAAGACAGACTTCATCCCAAAAGAGATCTCATCCCAGGACACAGCTGCTCCTTAGCAGCTCACCTTTAGCTGTCTCTGCCCATTGTCCCTTCCCACAGTTCCCTGCCCATGGACAGGTTGGAACTGGATGTCTTTTAAGGTATTTTCCATCCTGAACTGGATGGCTCTTAAGGTCTTTTCCATCCCAAACCAATCAGTGATTCCTAAGGAACCTACTGGAGGAAGGCTGAGAGAGTTATGGAGTGACACTTCCCTTCAAAATTTAGGATGGTCACACACTGAGGCAACACTGATTTAAGCTGCAATTTTCATCAAACACTGAATTAACAATGCTCTGGAACCTTCTAGAGAAAGGTGATCCTCCCCATGACTGTTAACGAGATGGTCTTAAAGGTTCCTTCCATCCCAAGCCAATCTGTGATTCCTAAGGAAGCTTCTGGATGAAGCTGGGAGAGTTATGGAGTGACACTTGAAAACTTAGGATGGTGACACACTGAGCCAACACTTAGCTGAACAGCAATTCTCATCAAAAGATTCATCAACACTGAATTAACAAAGCTCTGGAACCTTCTAGCACAAGGTGTCCCTGCCCATGACTGGAACAAGATGCTCCTTTCCAACCCAAATCCTACAATTCTGAGATTCTGTGATTGACATCCAAGAAGTGAAATGACATCCAAGCTGATATTCTCTGTCTCCCAGAAGAAATTATGTAGGAGCTGATATTCTTTGTGTCACAGAAGACACAATGTAGGAGCTGATATACTTTGTGTCCAAGAAGGAATGATGTAGGAGCTGATATTTTTCATATCCCAGAAGAAACGAGAACAGGAATTCGGCCCAGACACTCGGAAAAGCTGCAGAGGAATGAATGCAATGCTTCCCTTGGGCTGCTGGAGAAGGAGCTGCACCTCCTGTAATCGCAGGTCACACTTTACATACCAATGCCGCCAACCCATTCTGAAGGAGGAATGAACAAAGTCTCGGAGCAAAAAAGGAGAAACAAAGACCAGAGCGGAGCTTTGGAGGAGAGACACAGCCAGTTCTTCTTGGGTTTAATCTCTTCAAGCAGATTTCAGGATAATTTCCTTGGAACAACCGAGCGCAGTGTTGGCCTCAGTACTGTCGGATTCCTTTATTGTACTGTCTTCACGACCAAGGCAAGTGGCAAACATAGCAAGCAACCTACAGAGCAGCCCCTTGAGCAGAAAATCACCGGAGAATAGAGCAGATCAGTATGCGGCTGTTTGTACAAAGCATTTAGCCAGGCTAAAGGTTTGAGGGGTTTGTGTTCAGGCCAAAAAAGTAATGTCTTTGCAAGGTCTACAGGCCTGGGCCACCCAGGGCAGGTCACAGGGGGACTCCAACCTCCCTTCCAAAACATTTCACTGATGAAAGAATCAAGGAACAGGAACCGTTAAGCCCTTTACAATGGACAAAGAATAAAGAGTTCAAAGGCACGGCAGAAAAGAGACATCCACTGTAAATTAATTAATTACAGCCAACGGGGGGATCTCCCTGTGCCCCGGCGCGGCTGCGCACGCGGGGACAGGCCTTGCATGGATTGAGCGGTAAAAATGGGCCCAGCCGGTGACTTCATCCCTCAAAAACATCATCTGAGGGCAAGATATCCTCTGAATTACACGGGATTTGTGATGGCACCTCCAGGATGGAGGCTGAAGCAGCTCCCAGGGAAGGGAACGTGGACGAATCCGCTCGTCGCCACGGATAACATCTGAGGAATCAACCATCTCAGGATTCCTCAAGGAAGGATGGAGATCTTGAAGTTATCTTCCTTGGATAAAGCCTTGGAAGGCCATCCTGGAAAGGCCAAGTGATGGGACCTCCTTGGATAAAGCCTTGGGAGGCCATCCTAAAAAAGCCAAGTGATGGGACCTTCTGTTCCATATCCCCAGGAGCAAAGTGACACCTTGAGGACACTGAGGCTGAAGAACAAATCCATGGACTCTGGAGAAGCTCACAGGTGGGAAAAAGTGAGAAATGTTGGGGAGGAATCAAGGCAAGAGGAACAGAGAG